TTAATTATAAATAGATGTATAATGTTATGAACTTCACGCTACTTAGGATAAATGAATCCAGTTTCATGTTACAATTTGAAGTCAGTCTAGAAAGGAAAAAAGGTTAATTTAGGTTTATTTCAATTTTTTTTTGGTGGTTACGAGGTTGGTCGAATTGACCAATCCCGTTTTGAGATAGGGTAGAGAAAATAACTTATAAACTATAAAATTTAAAAACGGTTGAAATGCATTTGGGAGGTTTTAGGGATTACACAAAGCAAACTTGGGATTTTTGAGATGATGAAAAGTATTTTTCATGTTAAAATTAAAAATACTTTGCACATGGACTATTCAAAACGAATACTCAATATCTTCATGGACAAATTTTTACTTTATTTTATTAAAAAATACTTCACTAAGAAATATGACTTTTTGTAAGTGAAAAAATTGTAATATTAACTGAAAGACTGACAAATTTTGTGAAGATATACCCAATATATTGAGAGTTATAAGTATTAAATTTATAGAGACTTTAAATGAGCACTAAAGGTCACGTGACTCGGTCAAATTAACCAACCTCGTGTTGAGTGTGTTAAAGTATGCTGTATATTTGGTAATCCATAGGATAAAGTATGTTCTATATCTGGCACCCCTTGATCTTTAAAACTTAACAAATTGGTGAAGTTGAGTTTAAAAAAAAGAGTGAACATGGTCTATCTATTGTAGGAATTATGAATACAAGTGATTACAGCAGTTTAGAAGTGAAAACGTCATATTTGCTTTCATTCGTCTATTTAACTTGGACCACTGCTGGAAGAGTTCAAACCAGGTCACATGATACAGATCATTACAGATGTCTACTTGTTCGTTGGAAACCTGGGGTTGAACTATGCGAGAAGAAATGTCATGAATTATGGAACCTTTTCAGTAACACCATCAATAGCATCTAAAGCCTTGTTATATTATTGTAATTAAAAGTTGAAGAAAAAAAAAAGAAATATTTTCAGAGGGTAACCCTGGCGATTTTAAAAGTAATTCGTGCCCTGATTGTAATGCAAGAACTCCATTCATTGTTGTGATACATGTATTTTATGTTACTTCACTTTTGCCTTTTATTACTTTGTTTGCACGAAATGGAGAGGAGAGTGGCTGTCTAAAGTGATACTTTAGGACTTTCAGTTTAGTTCATAGTGGATCCAGCTTTTTAATCTCTCTTTAAATATTTATTAAACTTGGCATTCTATACTTACTGCCACTTTTCACTAGACCCTGTTTGATGTATCTCAGGTAGCAAAAGAACTCACACACTGCAGCTATCTACAGTAACAAAATAAATAAAAAACAGTCAAAATTCTGCAGTTATACATACAATACTTAAAGATATACTAACTTCTAGAGTACAACAAATACCATCAATGAAATCTTCATAAGTTTCCTAGAAAACATAATAGTGATTTGAGTAATGTCTCATCAGATATTGAAGAAATTCACTTAACTCACAAAACACTGAACTATACATAAAGGAGTTTTTGAAAATGAATATAATCTCATAACCACAGACAGGTTTTCAAGCATAGTTCGTTTCAATAAAGTATTTACAGAGTTTGTTTGATTCAGAATTTCACACAAAGCTGCATGAGGACTACCTTCACACAGCTGTCCCTAATTTTCAACTGATAGACTAGAGGAATGTAGCTAGTCAACAGTACTGACTACCAATTTTTGTAGCTAGTCAACAGTACCCACCACCAATTTTTGGGCTACTCTTGTCTGATCAAACAATGAGATTTGATTGTCGCTTTTATAATCAATCCATGGCAACAATGTGTAGAGTTAGTTTCTGCATCAGTGAGCTGGAAATCTAGGATTCAAAATCCAAACATGCTAACCAATATTTAGAGATATATATAAACAAAAATTTCAATGACACCATATTTAATTAACACATGCTAAAAATCACAAATTCAACAACAAATAAACCACATTATTTTGCTCATTAAAGTTTGATATGAGTCTGTTTATCAATACTTTCCTTCACTTTTGTTCACTTAGCCCCAGCAAATATTTCAAACAGTCTTTTATTTATATTCATTACATTCGTTCAGAACATGCTTCTCTATACTTGAAAACGATGTGAATCTTAAATTAGCATGTTCATGTATGTGGACTGTTAACCACCTAATGGTAGAGCTAATGTAACCTAAACCACGTTCATGTATGTGGACTGTTAACCACCTACTGGTAGAACCAATGTAACTTGAAGCATGTTCATGTATGTGGACTGTTAACCACCTACTGGTAGAACCAATTGAACCTAAAGCATGTTCATGTATGTGGACTGTTAACCACACATTAGAAGATTTAAAGGTATAGGATCCTTATACCTAAACAAAGTACTGTAACTTGCATATATGCTTTAAAACACATTTCAACTCCACTTGAGGGTATGCCCACTGACATAGCTTACATATTAAAACTTAGGTAAAATAAGAAATTGAATTATAAACTATGTTATTTTGCTCAATATATTTAAACACACAGTAAAGTTGTTTATTAAAATTTAAATGTAACCCTATAAAAAAATGTCACGAGCACTTCAACTTGATCATATGGAAAGAGTTCAGTGCGACTTACTTGTTCTTCAAAGAAAACTGTTGTAAAACGTGGATATTGTACAAGGTATAATAATTTATACATTTCTTTAAAATTATAACCACACTACATTTGTCAATATGAATTAAATGCTTTTCTTTCGTTAAAACCTCAACATTTAGGTCATACTATTTTTTAATTTGTTTACGCATAGATTGCGAATACTATTAATTTATGTGGATAAACAAATAACAAAAAATTACACTGTCAATTAGTTCAAAACTGTTGGAAAGCAGTCCATCTTTAACAACACTTACTCTGTTTCGGCACAACTGAGAGATATAGTACCATTGTGTCCCTTCTCCCAGCTTCATCCTGTATTTACAGAATCTTGGAGTCTCCAAAAGACAACAATTTCTGAAATGCAACAGAAAAGTTCTGAGTTGACATAAAACTTTTCACGCAAATGTCAAAAACATACTATCTTTCAATTAAGTTATCTCTTAAATGTATCAAACTGAAGATGAATTGAATTATACAAGACTTAGGAAAAATCATATTCACAATTATACTTGTTTTTAAAAGTAAAATATCAAAAATGATCAAGTTAAAACAAAACAAGCAAACAGATCTTAAGAGCAAATTTAATTCAAATAAACATGTCCAAAAAACAGAAACCAATAATTTGTTGAAAAACTAAAATAAAGTTGTTTTTGGAATTGCACCATTTTTAAGAATGTTTTACACAATTGCACAAAAGATAAAAAAGTCATAAAATGACAGTTTTTAATAACCAATAATAATCAAACTGGTGTATTTACATGTTTTACACTCACTAAAAAGAAACCTATCATTCTATAGGTATTTGAAGTACTTGTAGTAATCCGCCACAATTTAATTCTTCGTATTGTTATCTGACACTGGGCAGCTGGCTCATAGACACACACACACACACACACATCCCAATGAAAGAATAGACCATTCCAAGCTTTAACTTGTTGTTAAACAATTGTTTAAACAACTC